GAAGAAGAAGAAGAAGAAGAAGAAGAAGAAGAAGAAGAAGAAGAAGATGATCCTTGCAATAAATACAGAGTCTAGCAAAACAAATTGTCTCATTGGCCAAGCTAAAAAAACAAAAAAATATATATGCCTCCTTCTGTATCCTGAATCCATTGCTTCTCTGGCAGGAGGTAAATAGCATGCTTTATCATCAGTCCTCTGGAATCAAGGCACATTCACATTCTGGCTTATTGCTAACCGTGTGCCTTGATGAGTTTTGAATTCCAGTGAATCGAAGAAACATTTTAAAATACCTACTATGTTTAAGGCACTCTACTAGAAATAAAAAGAAAGAACAAAGTGGTTCTCACCCTCAAGGCACTGGAATTTTATTTGAGGTATAGAACAAAAACAAGTGCAATTCAAGAAAAGTTTCAGAGGAAGAGGAAATTGGACTACGAGCCATTCCCTGCACTGAACACTCCATCTCCCACTCATGGGCATGCTCACAAGCCAACAACTGCACCTAAAATAGCCTCTATTCTCTCCTCCCATTCTCAGAAGGCTTCTTTTCCTTCAAGGCTCCATTTTTATACTGAATCCTTATTTTATCTTTTTTTGATTCCCCAGTTGTTAGTGCTTTTTTCCTCTTTATCTTACAATACTTAATTTTCTACTTATTATATCCTCCCCAGTAGAACATAAGAACTAAAGGTAGGAAAGTTTCTCTTTCTCTCTTTACATCCTCAGGTCTCAGTCTAGTGCCTATTACATAGTAGGGCAAGGAAGTGAGGGGGAATATAGTAAAAATATCCACCTCCACCACCATCACCACACACACTATCCCTATTTCCTCTGGCAGAGCTATCCAACTTCCTAGCATCCAGAGAGTTTTTGGAAATGATCACTCATTGAAGGTAAAAAAAAAAATGTGACAGGAGCAATAAAAAATAGACACACAAACAAAAAACATTTGTCTACATATGCATTATTAGTCAATACTTTGTAAAAAAAAACAGGTTCTTGGTTTGAGTATCTCTATGCACTGATTATCAAGGGTACAGATCACATTTCTCATTTATTACTCAAGTATGGAACTCTTTCAAGCTTATCAAGAACACCTGGTCAAGTGGTTAACCACATAAACCACTTATAAAATATTGTAGCTCTTTGCTTCATGTGAGTCTGGGAAGCTTGGTGACTCTTGCTCATGGCATTTGGTGAGACACCATAAAGTATGGAGCACAGCCTTCGGGTCTCCTTTCCCCTCTTCCATCCTTTGCCTTTTCCTTTGTTTCCAGGGGAAACAGAGCCATAAGAATTTGGGAGTGGGTATAATAGCAAATCCCCAAGGAGCAAACGGTGCAAAGACTAACTTAATAGTGAGCAATGGGTGGGACCAATGCTACTTAGGACCCAAGCTAAATTTTCACCCTATTCCCCCACAGACCAAGTTGGTATAGGTAAGAGTATGACCCAGAGATAGGATAGAAATCTTTGTACATATATTTGTTCATGCTATACCTCTGAAGTAAATAACTCTTTGTAATACCAAAGATAAATAATTAAACTCTAATTGCATCACAGAATGTCAGACATCATCTAGTCAAATCGTACTTGACCAACAATCCCATCTGAAACATGGTGCAAGAGTTAGGAAGACCCGTGTACAAATTTAGTGTCAAATATTTCATAGCTGTGGGACCTTGGGTAATTCACTTATCTCTGCTTACCTCAATTTCCACATCTATAATAAAGGCACTTACTTTCCAGGGTTGTTTGTGAAGCACTCTGCAAATCATTATCATCGCCATTATTATTAATAATATCATCACCCAATGTGATCATGCAGCTTTCACTTAAATACCTTTAGCTGAAGGAGGATCAATGTCCCAAAACAGCGCATTCAATTTTGGGAAATAATTGGGGTTTTTGCCCCCATCTCTGTACATTGAGCCCCAATTTGCCTCTACAACTTGTACCTTTTGTTTCTTTTTCTGCCCTCTGGGACCTAGGAAAACAAATCTATCGCTCTTCTGCTTGACAACCCCACAAATGCTCAAAGACTATTTATTCTGTTCCAAAAAGCCTTTCTAAAGTTATATGAAAAATTATTTTTGAACAGATCATTTGTTGTCTTTCAAACAATTACAAGCCCAACTTTGTGGAAGGCTGATTTCCTTCAGATATTTACAGTGAGGGCCCAGCACAAACCTGACAGTTCTATAACATAGTAGCACTTGCTGTTCAATTGTTTCAGTCTTGTTTGACTCTTCGTGACCTCTTTTGGGCTTTTCTTGACAAACATAATGGAGCTATTTGCCACTTCCTTCATCAGCTCATTTTACAGATGGGGAAACTGAGGCAAAAAGGGTCAAGTGACTTGCCTAGGGTCACACAGCTCATAAGTAAGTGCAGGTGGATTTGAACTCGGATCTTCCTGACTCCTGACCCAGTGTTCTACCAACTGCGCCATCTAGCTGCCCCATGATAACACTAACCATTTCACAGAGTTTATGGGAGCAGTTACATATTTTTAATGCCATTGTTTTCAAGCTTAATGAAAGAGTTTCCAAATAGTGCCCAAGCGTGTTTCATTCTGGGTAGAAGAATAAGGTTTCACCCTTTAAAAAGGGAAAAGATATCAGAACATGCCACTGCTTTCAGATAAGCTGACTCAACAACACTGCAGTCCTCCTCAATTTCTTTACCCAACTATCCCAACTGGAGAACCATCTGAGTGGCCTTGTTACACATCTAAAAACACTGGCTCTGCAAATTCAATTAATCAATTTTCTATCCTGTAAGCAGGCCAGTAACATTCTAGGTAGTGTAGTTACTTAGTTATAATGTACTGTTTTCTGTTACAATAGTCTCAAAAATCTGCAGACTTCTATTGACTGAACAGGCAGCGGAAAGGAAAACATGCCTAAGTATTCGTAACTTGTGGAAATGACTTTTTTTTTTTCCCAACAGCTGCTATTGGGGTTGTCAAGTATTGATCAATTAAACTATAGTTAAAATCACTTTATTGAAGACTTAGAAGCAGTGCCTCGGGACACTTGATAACCTATTTATTATGTAATCTTGAGGGACTAGAAGGTCATTTTAACAATTCTTCTGATTCAGGGCAACAAGACATTTTTAATAAGATTCTTCTTGAAACTCTGGAAACAAGGGAGTTCCACAGCTCCCTTGTTAAGATATGTGAGAGTTTTATCAACCTTCCAGTAAAATTATTCCTAATATATAAATCTTTCTTTGCAAAATTTAAGCTTATTCTCTCTTTTTTATCTCAGTGGAAAATACACAAATACCTTCCTGTCACTCCCATTTATTTTTTAAACCACACACTACCCAGGAATATCAAGACATTAATTCTACCCCCAGTGCGCTAGTCTTTAGATAAAATAACATCAATTTCTCTTTCTTTCATCCTTACATTGCTGTTATTCAAATTAACTTGATTCTCCCTGCTAGAAACTTTTTTCTAGTTTTCTTTTTTTTTGTATATTTGGGTCCTCAAAAATCCTCCTGTATAGCATGGGCTACTAATGTAGTCATCTTTTAAAAGTGGAGAACTAGAGCAAATGTTAAGTTTCTAGTAATACCATAATAAAATGTTTGGCAGCAGATATAGTTTTAAAAATCTAGTAAATGTATAGTTGAGATTCAATAGCAGGTTTCCAAAATATTTTACGTACAAAGGCACCTCCATTATCAATTATTTCTTTCTCAGATTGATAATAATGTTTGCAATTCTTATAGTGCTTAATTTGGTTCTTATTATACTTTGGTTTACAGTTAAAATCCACACACCTAGCGTAACATCAAAACAAAGAGCGTGTTCCCGAGAAAGGAAAGAAGACAGTTGAGAAGCATTTCAGAATACAGAGGAAGATAACCTAGCTGAGGCGGGCAGTCTTTTTGCTATTTTTACCTGACATCAGTACATGTGATACAGCTGATACTGCGACTGTTTGTTGTAATCAGGTTCAGAGCCACCGATGTTTCACTGGCAGAGGTTGGGTGTGCACCACATTTAAAGTAGAACTCCTGAAACATTGAAAGAAAGATAAAGTAAGATCACATTCCTGAAACCCATGTCTGCTATTTATCTTACTCTGAGCAACATTTAGACAAGAAACAAATCGCTACCAGTAGCAGGAAAGGAAATAAGCTATTAGGAAGAGTCCTGAATGGATTAAGAATGGTTATCAAAATCATCTGAGTGGGCACAAATTGCTTTTGTGACAGAATGCTAGGAGCATCCTCAAAGAAGGCTCCATGTGCCTTTGTGGATGGTGATTTCTGTTGTCCACCCTACCCCCTCCCCCATACACACACACACTTCTTTAAGCTGTAGATTTTAGAATTTAGCTATGCAATTTATATACTGTCACTACCCTATGTGGGTCTAGGAGGAAGGTCCTCCTCCTCTTGAAGTTCTGATGATCCCTGTCCTACTCCTACGTAATGTTGTGGGCCTCAGTTTCCTTATCTGAAAAAAAAAAGTGGGTATAGTTGGGGAAGGGACTGCACTAGATGGCTTTTGAGGTTCCTTTCAGCTATACCTATATTACTCCCATACTTGTCCACATTATAGATTATAGATCCTTATATGGTATATCCCGGGGAAATAACCAGTATTTATAAACCTATTTCCATGTCAAAATGGATTCCATTTTATACTGAGCTACACCTGATGCAGGCGTGTCAGATGGTTCAGTCTTGGGTCAGAAATGAAATTAAACCACCATAATTAAAGACCATAATTTCTTTTAACAAAAGAAAGTTTATTCAACCACAGAATGGAAAGGATAATTTACAAAGATTCAGCATTGATTCAGAACAGTATTACTTCACTCATCTCTGCATTTACCATGAGGGTACACTTGGTCAGGAGGGGATATTAACTTCCACAGTCTGTGACGCCTGAGGAGCACTCTTGTTTTTGGCCTTTATGCCTTAGGTGACCAGTAAACCATGTTAATAGTTTGAGAATTAGTCCCCTGGCCCAATTAAGCATAGAAGATGGTTTCATTATCTTTTTTAGGGGGAAAAAATGTAGTTTATGTGGCAGAGATCTTTGTGCATTATATTCACGTGGACTGTAGGCTATGATTTAGCTCATTCTCTTAATTAATGGCCTTAATGAGGTGAAAATAAAAAGTTCTTGAGTCTATTCCCCTTTCAGATCAGTTAAAAAAAAAAAAACACAAACTACATTTCAAGTCCTTCCATATCCAGACACAACATTCTGAGACATTGTGGTTCTACATAATATAACTGACTATCTTGTGAAAACAAAAGACATCAATTATGCTTTTGAAAGCTAAATTCACAAACCTCTTAATAAGTCAGAGGACAAAGTAAGAAAAATTGCACAAGAAATACCCATTGAACAGAAATGTACATAAGTACCCAATCTCTGAAAACTTCCATAATCAAAACTAGGGTAGTGTTAGAAAAGGTACTAACATGATAAATGGGTAGAGAAATTTAACAAATAGTCTAATGAGAATAAGAGATGAAGAACCTCAATTGTATATTAGAACACCTGGGGTGTTAAGGGAAGTAAAGGAAGGCCTCCAAATAGTTGGGAGTATCCTTTATATGGAAAATATCAATAAGAAAGTGAAGAGGGGTTGCAATCTTCATGCCAGGAGAGACTATGAACACTGATAAAATTTGGAATCCACATGCAGCAAGGCTGAATTGACCTATAGTTGCCATTTCACAGAGTATACTCAGTCACCATTCCTGCTTCTTGTATACCACGTAGGAGGCTTGGGGCCTGATTCTAGCCATGTGGAGAAAATAATATGATCTCATTTTACTCAGGTCTGGAGCAAATTCCCTTAAGGAGAACCCTTTGGCTACCAACCACAAACAGATGCAAAACAAAAGACAAAACAAATCTTTAGTGGTGCTTTGGTCCCTCCCACCCTCACCACCCTCCTCCCATGACAGCAATGGCAAGCGGATAGGATGCTACATGATTTTTTTAAAGAGAGAAATAATACCCAGTTGTGTTGTCTTGCTTTGATAATCAAAGAATTCGTTGACTTCTAGTGAGGCATCGCAAGAGGCCTAGAGCCCTAATTGGATTTTCTCTTTTCCTTTAGCTGATAAAGCACTCTGCCCTCCTGCCAATGGGGAAAGTGGGAAGACAAAGGCACCTACTCAGGGTTTGTCTTTTCCTAATAAAACTCAAAGGCCTCCCAGTCACTGGCCTGAAGCTTGCCCCAAATCTGCCATTGACCAGAACGAGGAATGGCAATTCTGAGCCCTTATAGGCCAATTCAACCTCACCATACACTAATGTACCAATCAGAACTAGCTAACAAATATTTAGACTACAAAATGTATTAGTAAGTTTTCCATTGTATTTCAGTCTCCACACTTCTAGAACAGGATTTCTCAATCTTTCTTGTGACATGGACCCAGGAAAGTGCTAGAAAACATTTAATAACTGGCAAGGGGTAGGAAGGAAGTAGGGGAGAGAAATGTACACAAAACATTTGTAAGTTTAATCTATATTATCAGCATTTTTACCATTTGCTTTCTTAAGTCTAAACAACCAACAAAATAATAAACCAAACCTTTATTTGTAGTGTTTGCCATTTCTAAGGTGTAAATGCTCCTACTAAAAATTTAGCACTGAGCCAGTATTCAAGCTGGCTCCAGCACACCCCTGCGTGGCACCTCTTTCGCACTCCAGAGAAACCCTTAGACCCTTTTTCAAAATAACTTCTCTAAATAACTGAAGGATTTACTAAAATTTAGTTAGAAGTTGGTAAAAATAAATATTTTTTCCCATCTAAGTTCACAGACCCCTCCCTAGAGTAAGACCCATAATTCTAAAACAAAGGGAGAAGAATACTGTTGTTTGCTACAGTAAAGGAACAAGTTGCTTCATGTTATGGAGGCAATCTCACCATTGTTTTCAATATCAAGTCTTTCCTTGGCTCTTACTATTTGAGTTTGTTGGATACTGGATAAAGGATACAGAGGCACATTACTAACACAAAGCAATGAGAATAAGCAGGCTTTACTGTGGGGGACACAGTCACAGCTGGGCAGGGTCCCAGTTTTTTCATGCCAAGCAATGGAATGGAGGGAGATATTCTAGGCCGTTCAGTAGGTAAATTTATAGAGGCTCTCACCTGGACTGCCACTTGGCCTAACCAGTAAGACGAGGGAGTGAGCTAAACCCACACCTTGCTAGTGTAGAATTGAGGCCACCTGCTGCTTTCAGGTATTGAGCATAGCCTGCCTGGAACCCCTGCCCTGGGCACTTGTGAAAGCCGAATGATTTGTTCACCTATTCACAAGGTTCTGAACGTCTATAAATCATTTTAATCTCATAAATTCCATAAAGAAATTACACCCATTATCAAAAACGTCTGACCAAATTCATCCTGTAATTTTTGATTAAAAAGTAACTTTCTTTAACACTGCAAAAGACCCTGTCATTCCACTGTTGTGGTTATGCCCCCTCTCTGACAGAGGCTACAACATTTCTGCGGCCTTATAAGGCCATCTGTTTTTTCTGACATCCGCCTAGTAACAAACAAAATATTTGATCACTTAGTGGTTAACATTCTGGTAATTTAACTCTCAAGATTTAGCTGCACTGATCTCTGGATGACAGACAAACATCGGCTGAGCCATTCACAACGTGTACTCTGGCTGGAAGAACACCTTCCAGGGCTTTTCTTCCATTGGCCCTGCCTTTGAGGCATGACCATTTCCATTCACTGAGGCATCAGATTTTAGGATTTAGAGAAAGAATAGATTCTGAAAATCATTTTGTCCAAGTCTTGCTCTATGTCTCTCTCCTCTGTCTCTCTTTGTGTCTCTGTCTCTCTTTGTGTCTCTGTCTCTGTGTCTGTCTGTCTCTCTCTCTCTCTCTCTCTCTCTCTCATTCCCTTTATCTCTGTTTCTCTCCCTCTCTTTGTCTCTCTCTCTCCCATAGCTCTCCATCATTTGGACCCATCCATGTCCTCTGACTTCAAATCTAGTGCTCTTTTATTACTCCAGGAGAGCAGAATATTCAAGGTAACAGTGACTATACGCCTTTAAAATGCTTTATTTTGTCACTCATTCTTGAAAAGTACTGTCTGCTGAGAGATCAAAGGACATAGGTGTGCTGTTGGTATTTGTTCTTCCTTAAACAGCAAACAAGCTTGTGTGAAACAGGATTTCACTGGTACTTAGCAGATCACAGTAATTAATTATTTTAGGTTATGAGTTCCCCTTGATCTCTGGGATTGAGGAAAAGATGTGTGTGTGTGTATGTGTGTGTGTGTGTGTGTAGATATATATTTTGTTTTGTTTTCGTTATCCCTCATCTGGTCAGTAGGAGAGTACAGCATTAAGAAATGCCACTTCAAATAATGTATAAGCCACTTTATTGTAAGGGTTTTTTTTTTAGTTGACAGATTATTTCTAATTTTCATGTTCTGATGTTCATTTGAATACTATTAAATAAAAGCTTCTGGGAAGCAAGAAATACTTTTCTTTCTTTCTGGACAATAAAGTTCTTGCTAGCGAACTAAAACCAAATCAATGTAGTCCAACAAACAATTCTTATGCACTTAAAGTAGTTATGTACTAGGTGCTGGGGGTCCAAAGACAAAAGGAAAATAGTCACTGATGTCCTGAACTACTGAAAGGATACTACATGTAAACAGATATATGATCATTTGAGGAAAGAGAGCACTGGCAAAGTTGGAGATCAGGAAAGATGTCCCATAAGAGGAAGCAGTTGAATTTAGTTTTGAAGAAGCTAAGGATTCTCAAAGGCACAGGTGAGGAAGGAATACATTTTAGGTATGTGATACAGCCTGTGAAAAGGTGCAGAAGTGGAATACCAAGCAGCTCAGGGAACAGCAAATGGGAAGGGAAAGGGACTTAAAGTGTGAAGGGGCAGAAAAGAAAGAATTAATACCTAGGGGAATCAGGAAATGTTTCCCTTAGGAAAGTCTTATTGAGCTGGGCATGTGTGTAACAAACTCCCCTAATCTCTCTTTCTGGGGAGGTTGAAGCTG